AGCACGAGGACATTGGGCAGCGTGGCCATGCAGGCGGCCGCTTGATCGAGCGGATAGACTTACTCTTGCAAGCTAAACAGCCAGTTCGACTCCGGACGTTCATTCTGATTGATTGAAGGAGATGTTAGTTAAGATCAGGGTGCAGCTAGCGAGATGGCAGGAGAGGATTGTGAGTGGTTGCAGCGAGGGGTAATTTGGGAACAGGAAGGCAGACAAACCCAAGGAAGAGGAGCTTATCAACGGTGGCCACGGAGGAGACAGCCAAAATGCGGGGGTTAGCGGGAGATAAGACGCCCCTTCCCTTCTGGGAATGGCGCGCGGCTGCCATTGAGTCCCCGCCTCGTTGCCTTAATCTTTCTCCGGCCTTCCAGGGTCCAAATCACGTAGAGAGGCGCGGGATTGCGTGCTTCACCTTATCTCGACTTACACCTTGTCTACTATCTATGCTGGATATCTTCTTGCGATATATTAGAGTATCAAATACGTGATACTACTAATACAATCATTATCAATACTGACAAATTGTGAGACCTCACCATCTGCTTCAGCATTGGGGCCCTCTTCGGTGTTGTCTCTCCCGTAACACCGACTAGCAGTACTCTGTGCTTGATACAGCATACCACAAAAACCATCAACATACACCAATTACTACTACCACAAACACAATCGCGGCAATCTGAACATACAAACAATAGGGGCTGCTATTTGGGTCGTCCCACCTTACCCCGCCCTGCTTTCCTCCGCCCAGACACTATACAAAGCCAGCCCCATGGGGTGCTCGGCTATTGCTTCATCCACGGGAATATAGTTACGTGATGGTTTCCTCCGTAGAAGCCGACCTGCACGAGGCCAGTGCTACTACATAACAAACTTTATGGGGGCCCGGTGGTGCAGAGCCGAAACCTTATTGATATTATGATTTGCCGTTGGGAGCCACGGCTATACGGTTATGGGTTTCCTTGGTAGGCCTTTCGTGGGCACTGGGGATACATTGCTTAGCCACTGTAGTGGAGGAGCAAGACGTTTCTTGAAATACAAGTAGAAGGTTAATTATAATCTATTTACAATATGATGTAGGTGATAGCCTACACACTACTCATGTTGCTCTGCTCCGTCTTGGGAATCAGAGCACGGCGGTCCTCATCTCTGGAGTGATGATCAACATCAGCATCCTCATCACCAACCTCCTCGTCATAGTCATCACGCTCATTAAAGCCGTCATCTGAAGCAAGATCAAAGTCCTCTGCTTCCAGGCTATTATACACCTTGCGCCTGCGCCACCACATAACTCCCGCTCCAATCGTCACCAGCACAACAACGGTCAACCCGCTCGCCAAGAATACCACTGTATTTATCGACAATCCAGAGGGGGTCTCTTCCGAAGGGATGAAGGTAGAATCGGGCTCATCGTAAGCGTCATGAGCAACTGATAGTTCCGCTGTGTCAAGGTCCACGACTTCAGACCATCGAAGGACATTTCCCTGATTGTCCAAGGCTTCGGCCCAGATGTAGCGCCAATCGGTCTCGCCAACTGTCAACTTGGTTTCGAAGCCTGTCCGGCGTGATGCGGCTATTATTTCGCCCTCTTCGTCGACATCGTCGCTGGCTGCTCCCCGGATAACCCAGTTTGCCACCTCGGTCGCTCCGTTCCAGCTAACGTACATGACCAACTCGCCGTCCTCATTTTTCCGTGGTGCGATGGCAGGGTCCCACCAGGGTGTAGCTGACCAGTCCATCTTATAGGCGCGGTAGTTGTCTAGCGCATCGGGGATGTTGTCACTGTGCCACGGCGAAAACTGCACGTCCATGACTGTCTCACCCGATGAGTTGTGCTCTGTAAACGTGGGACACCGGCCCCAGCCAATAAATACGTTGCCCAGATCATCAGCAGAGGGCGAAAGGGGCTGCATGCTGCCTTGGCTCTGAGCTTGAAGGTGGGATGGGTGATGGAATTCGCGTAGGAGTTGGGCGGTCGGGGGTGAAGCAGTGTCATTGATAGCGATGTGCAAGCCGCGCGAGCAATCGGTGTCGCAGACGCCGTGAGACGTGATCTTGACATGGTTGTCAAATAAGGTCATTTGGGTCTCGTCGGTTCCCTCAACAAAGCGAGCATGATGCTGCCATTGCATTGACAGCAGGGGTGCGGCTGACTCGGCTTCTTTGGCGCGGGGCAGCTCTTTGAAATCATTGCGTTTGCCGCCCATGGTCCATATGATGTCTCCCGTTTTTCCGTCGATGAGGTAGACGGCGTGCAGGTGGCGGATTGAGATAAGATAGTTACCTGCTTTGGTCTAAACCATGGAATGTTAGAGGTGTTTACAGGTCGTCGGGAGACATGTCCTGCTCTTACCTTCTGAATGCTATTCATGTGATACGCATCCCAACCTCTGCCCATAGGCTCATAGGAGTCCATGGGGTTAATGTGGTCAAGAGCCCGCCAGTCGAAAAGCACCTCATTAGTCTCCAGGTCGATCTCCTGAAAAATGGAGTCCAGGACCTCGAATCTAGGTGGCGTTATCCAGCCTTTGTCTAAAAAGTCTGATGAATGGGCGTTGATGGCGTTGACGCCTGTGACCAAAGCAGTCCCGTTCCCGGTAAATGCAAATTCGTGGAGGTCGCTGTGAACTTTGATGTTCCGTGCCCATATTTTATAGACCAAGCGGTAGGTGTCGTCGTAGGCGAGCCCATAGCCGTCACCTATACCATCGCCTTTCTCACCTTCCCAAAAAGTCAAATACTTCTTGCCGAAATTCTCTTGGACACGGGTACCGAACACATTCTTGAAGGTCCGGTTCATGTAGACGGCACTCAAGTCGTTGGCATCCAAGATGAGCGGCGACGAGAGTGGCGAGGAGTCGTTACCATCATGTTTGATGAATATATGGGACCCTTTCTCAGAGATGGCACTCTGGTCCCATATGTTGACCTGTAGAAGGGGTGCATATTCGGAGCTGGAGTGAAATTCCAAGTGAGGACGGTGTCCTAGCGCTCCGTCATTGTACTCTTGGTAGTTGGTGGATACATAATCTCCGCGGGCTGTCCGAGCGAAGGCGGCAATGCACGCCCAAATAAGGGGAGGAATCATTGTTAACCCGACACAAGATGTGACAGGCGGCAGGTATTCAGCTCCAGCGACATTGCCGGAAGGAAAATATGAGGTTGAGTCGCCTCAAATGTATTTGGAGGACGCCAGCCATGCTAAAAGGTAGGCCGGGGATTTTCTTAGGAGGGGGACACACGTCCAATAACGGCTTGACGAACAGATTTGTGTACAGCGGACTCTGAAGCTTGCGTACGCGTCTTCTGGTCATGGTGCCTGTTCTCCAGGCCACGCCTCCCACCCAGGGGTTGCCGGGATTGTGGGACAGCGATCCACGGACAAGAACCGAAGGCTGCTAGTATAGTAACTAACTGGATACTAGACTGGGGTTAATAAAATCCACACGCGACCAGTCCTCCGTGATATTCCGCAGATGCCTTCCATTCAGAAAACTGAAAAGAATCGAGATGCCGTACTCTGATCGACGTATCGCATCGGCGATTCGCCAGTCCCGAACTGTTGACTTTGGGGATGTCGTTGACCTCGTCAGATTCTGCTGATTCGTGTGCGCGATGGGGCTTTGAGTGGATCCCATTCGTTATCTCCTGGTTCCGTTCGGATATCTCGGTGGCCACTAAACTAAATTCTGTGCTTCAAGGCCGACATCTGGAATTTCCCGGCAACCAATTCGTTGCATGACGTGGCTCATGACAGCCACGCGACACTTATGGAAAATTTCTTGACCGTAGAGGCGTATATTGATCGGCACATACTTTCTGGATAGGAACAAGCATGGCGTTTGGCAATTGTCGCGCCCGTCAGGGGATAGGCGCCTGTGGTTCCGGCGGAGAAGCCAAGTAGCAAGCGCTTGGCATTGTGAAAGGAGATAACGATTTGCGTTGCTAAAACTCACCATGTAAGTTTACAGTCCAGGCATACTGAAGTGGGCTATTTATAGAGAATCATCAAAGCTGTGGATGTGCATTGGATGACTTCGATCCTGAAGTTCCTCGAAAATGGAGCCATCCAAAACGGGAATGGCCTCACCGCCTGTCCATGTGCCCAAAATGTGGCGTACTTATCATACTAGGGTTATATATAGTATTGAGCATGCAACCACTAGGCTAAGGCTGGAAATATACATCCAACTGAACTAACTCACTAACGCTCAAGTAAGGATTGGCTGAGCTGAACACAAGGTTTTCAAACTAGATAACGATGTAACTAAATGTTACGTTTTACTAAGCAGTATGGTCGGACGTGCCGTGCACTTGCTTCAGAAAATGGCGGCAAAATTTATCGGTTTGAAAGACCGTGTTTGGACAAATCTGATCATCTCTTACTAGATTATAAGGCAGTTGTAAGATGTTCAGGTAGAATCAATTCTTTACTAACATGGTGATGCAAACCGGATACAACTGCCCATCACATGAGTAAATGCTTGTACATCTTCTAAATGCAAGACTGAATCTACTAATTATATAAGCCTCTATTGATATAAAAGTAGACTGAAGAGCAGCCCTTCAATAAAACGTAAAGGAATGAAGTGCAATGATATGCAACATACCTGGCCGTGCTTCTGTGTAGCTTGGGCCAGCCGTTTCACTTCATTACACTGCGTTACGTTCAGCTTCTTTATCTTCCTGCAAGAATCCGAGCTGAACTCATAACCCTGTATACCCTATATTCGATGTCACCTCTTTTGCACATGGTAGCATTGCATTAAACTGCATTGCAATCCGTCTACATCTTTTATCCACGCCCTGGTCATCGTATTGCATACCGCCGCATTTCACTACATCCCATGAAGAGCACTTGCTGCATGCCTTCACGGCCGACCAATTGCAACCATGATAGTACTGCTATCTGGATCTTTACATCAACGTTTTGATCGATCTCAACAAGTTATGCTCTAGTCTAGTGTACGGTGGGTTGGATAACAGACAATTTGTATGATATTGCCTGCTTCCGTAGACTACAACCCAGTGCCAGATTGTTCTCCATGTATAAAGGATATAAATGAGGTCTTTACCCGGATAACCTGGTCTCTCCCTACTCCGATGGCCTATTCTAGTTCAATCTGATGTCAATCGAGAGCCCTGGGCGTTTGAATTTCTGTGATCTTTAGATTCAGCAGCCTTACACAAAACAGAGCAGCACGCTCACTTACGTCTTAGTTCACGCTGTGGGAATAGGGACTGAATGAAATTGATGTAACGATGGTTTCCAGCGAAACCCTGTTCTGCAGCTGTTGACTCAAGGAACTTTTGCGCTTTCGACCCTAGTCGGAACTGGTACTCTTCGTAGTTCTCAAGACAGACCAGAGAATCCAGTACTGCTTGAAAGCTCGTCTTGCCACACTCTGTTGGGGTGACCACTAACACCGTGGCGAAGAAAAGATGGTCACTGACGTCTTGAAGCTCTTTGTAGGCACCACAGGCACGAGTCTTCCGCCATACCGTTACTGAAGTCTTAGAACACTCTCGATGGTCTTCCCAAACAAATTGGAGACGACCACTTTTCAGGACTTTCTGGTCTTCGCGACTTAGCCCTCCCTTTTTCAATTCTAGGATCTTGTTATCGATCTTGTGAATTATGTCTGCCTGTGGAGTTGCAACTAAATCCATGACATCTATTGACCTCCACTGCTGATGAGATAGGGCAAAATTACCGGGCGATGTTGAGTACGATACGAATGAAATCCAGTGAAGTAAAACCAGATGATATGAATTGAAATAGAGTGAGATGAGGTGGAATTTAAGATGCAATGTCGCTGTTACCCCTCACGAAAGAACTATTGCACTAAAAGCAGGGATGTGCCAACTTGTAAGGCTGACCGGCGAGGCGAGGAAGGCTGTACTTGGTTTGGTTGGTGGTTGATTGATTACATTTAATTACATTACACCTCACTACATTCCGCCACAAGTTTTTGACGTTGCCCCTTGGAGGAAGCTTGTCCACTCACTATTGTCTGACCAAGTCATGAAAGCGACTGAATATACTGCAGAGTAATGTATAATTTGATAAAATGAACCTCCTGGGCATCAGCGTCCTCAAAAGGCCACATTTCGTTACTTTTCCGGGATTATCAGGGAGATTCCCTTTCACACGCTCCCTCTGCTTGGATTCGCGCCGCCCAACGAAAACAACCCCAGCTCAGCACCATTCTATGTCTACTCGAAAGCGCTCCAGCCACCTAACACCCCTGGTGTATCAGTGGCAAGAAGGCGTTGAAGATCTCGAAGGCTACCGCCCAGGTGGCTATCACCCCGTTCACATTGGCGATAAATACCTCAACGGTCGTTACGAGGTCATCCACAAGCTAGGTTACGGTACCTACTCAACTGTTTGGCTTGCCGAAGATCATCTAGAGGCGAGGTACGTCGCATTGAAGATCCTTATCGCTGCTACCCACAAAGGGTGCTCGGAAAGCAAAGTGCTCCACGCATTGAGCTCTGGGAAAGCAGATCACCATGGCCGCGCCTATGTTCCATCATTGTTGGACGAGTTCACGGTTGATGGGCCAAATGGCTGCCACCTATGTATTGTGAGCGAAGCGGTCGGGTGTAGTGTCGCGCAGTCAAAGGAAGCTAGCATAACTTGGAAATTTCCCGTCGACGTCGCTCGAGCTATATCCGCTCAGCTTCTCCTAGGTTTGGACTATATTCACTCATGTGGTGTGGTTCATGGTGGTAAGTCGGTCTTCGTCCCCATCTGTGGCAAGGCTACTGATAAGCGCCAGATCTGCATTCGAACAACATCCTCTTCAAGTCCCCCTCTCTCGAAGGACTGACGATCGAGGAGCTTTACAACCGCTTGGGAGACCCTCAAAAATTGCCTGTCGAGAGACTTGACCAATGTCCAACTGGTCCAGAGGTTCCACGGTATTGCGTCTTGCCTGCGATGATATTCCAGTCAAGTGAGGATGTTGTCGATGCTCAGGTTATTATCTCAGACTTTGGCGAGGCTTTCTTTCAGGACCAAGAGCGCAAAGACTTACATACCCCTATACTTCTTCTTCCACCAGAATTTTTCTTCTCTGAGAGGCTTGGTCAGGCCATTGATGTATGGACTCTTGGTTGCACCCTCTATGAAGTCCTTGGCGAACGTCCTCTCTTTGAGGGTTTTATGCCAGACGAGGACCATACCATCGCAGAAATGATTAGTACTTTAGGGCATCTTCCGAAGCGATGGTGGGATCGATGGCAACGAAGGACGGACTTTTTCCTTGAGGATGGATCATGGAAGACGGATACGGATCGAAGTCATGCTCCATATTCCCGGCCTCTGGCCGAACGTCTGCGCATTATGGGACGGGGAGAAGATCCTTCGACGTGCGAGTTCAGCCCGCCAGAGATGAAAGCTCTTGAAGGATTGTTGAGAGCGATGCTGACTTATCAGCCTTCAGAGCGCATCACTATGAGAGCTGCGGTGAACTCAGAATGGATGGAGGAATGGGGTTTGCCAGCGATTAGAAAGACTGGCGTCAATAGTAATATGTAAAAGAGTAGCTTTTTTTGGTTTTCGTTGAGAGAGGGGTGCCTTTGACCTTGGTCATTGATTTGTTGGGCCCGTCAATAGAATAAATACGTTTCTGAGAGCTCTGCAAAGTAACGAATAATGCTGTATTGGGGATACCCAGACATGTTTACATCATCACGAGTCTTGGGCTAGCAAGGACGGAATGTCTCATCACACACCTGCCTGCCTGTTCACGTTATAGCTTCAAAAGTAGTGCTGCGGTGAACACAACAAATTAGCTGCATTCTCTCTGCGGTCACTTAATTTTATGCTGACTGTAAGATAGTAGAGTAGTATATCAGTCAAAAGCTGTCATTACTAGATGATATGGGAACGCAGAGTCTAGTCTTTGGTGGCCAATGGATCCGGAGGTCCGCAGTGAGACTTGAAGGAAGCAAAAAGCAGTAACTAAGCAGCGGAGGCTACTAATTAGTACTATTCTGACATTTTTCATGCATGACGGCACACAAGAAGGGTCAGTCTTGTCCGATTCGTGGTCAGTCAGTCGCCTGGTAGCTCGTCGACTTCCCGCTGTATACTACCAAAGTCCCTTGGTTAGCCTCATTAAGCATACCATGGCAATGAGTGTGGCCGGCCTTTCCATATACGCACTGCTTCCATATTCATCCTTGTTGCTCTTCACAATCAGAATGCTGACCAAAGCATATGATAGAAGGTGGCCATGGCAAGATATCGATAACTATATGCAAATTAAACAGTTCCCGAACCCCCAGATCAGAACGCCATGTTCTCTCAAGAGAAGATTGGAGACCTCGCTTAGACAAGATGGAAGTAACAGGCATCCGTGTCTCACACATCCAACACTATTGACACGGTAGGGCTACCGGATCCAAGTCTACCCCTCACTCAACAAGCATCCATCCAGGGACGGTCGAAGCCTAGCCATTATTTTGCCGATGGAACCGCCAGACACGTCAATTAGATCCATTTAGAGACGAATGGGAGTGTAATTCAGCATTGATACATGAGTAAGAGTATTACTGATAGGACCGGTGATCTAGGGGGCACCAATGAGCGGTATCGCCCTGTTCCAAGTGGTCATCTTATCAGCTCCCAAGACATGCTTATCCCTATCATTGAGGGGACGAATGCACCCCGCAGCTTGCGATCCAAGGTATAAAGATGTCTCCCCCTATGCCACCAATTCCTTCATCTTCCAGATCTCTTTCATCTCTTCAAATTCCACATACCATGTCCAACCTCCTGTGCAGGACACCGGTTGGCCAACGGGCACGAACCAGTGTCCTTACAAGGCCTACTCTTGTCCTCCCATCTCTCCGATATTGTGCTACAGGGACCACCTTCGAGAAAGTCCCCAGCATCTCCTCCTCTGTAGCTAAGACACAAGCTCCAGAGAAACCCTCCTCTGCACCACCTCATTCTGTCCTGCCCACCAAGACTCTCCTGCGGTCTCTCCTCGTGACCACCATCTCCTCCCACCAAACCCTCCTCGTTCCTTGTCTATCCATTCTATCTTTCCTTACCAAGCCCCGTGGTGTCTTGCTAGATGTGGACCGCAATCCTCTCATCCATTGGTTCCTCAAGAAGACATTCTACGACCACTTCTGTGCGGGGGAAAAGGAGAGCCAAGTCCGGGATAAGATCCGCCAAATCAAAAGTACAGGACTACGTGGAGTTATTTTGACCTACGCGCGGGAGACAGTGCAGGATTCAAGCACGAACCAAACCCAATTCGCTCACAGCCAGGTATCCCAAAAGGCAACCGACACAGAGTCATGCGAGTTCATCGCCGCCTGGCGGGAGGGTTACCTGAAGACCGTGGACATGCTTGGCGAAGGTGACTTCCTTGCCCCAAAGTAAGTCGATCCCCCATAGTCCAGGGATTCTTTTACCGGATTTGAGAGTAAATCAGTGGATGCTGATCCCTATTATTAGGCTCACTGGGGCCGGACCCAAAGTCACAGAGGCCTTCGCCTCCGGACAACCCGTCCCCACGCAAATGGTCGAGGCCCTGGATGAAGTGTGCCAACGGGTAGTCGAGAAGAACGCCCGTCTCCTCATGGACGCTGAGCAGCACTCCTTCCTCCAAGGGATCCACAACCTCACATTGGACATGATGCGCAAGCACAACCGAAACGGCAAGGCAGTAGTGTACAACACATACCAGGCTTATCTCAAAAGTACGCCGAGCACGATAGCGTCGCACATGGAGATAGCAGACAAGGAAGGATTTACGTTTGGATTGAAGCTGGTGCGGGGAGCGTACATGAGATCGGACCCGAGACAGCTCATCCACGATACGAAGCAAGATACCGATATCGCATACAACTCCATCGTGCGGGGCGTCTTGCAGCAGCGTTATCAGGGTTTCGGAGAATCCGGACGCAGGTTTCCCACCACGGATTTGTTTTTGGCTACGCATAATATTGAGAGTGCTGTGGCGGCGCATGAGCTGCACCAGGCTCGCTTACAGGCGGGGCTTCCCACTGGCCGAGTGGAGTTCGGACAGCTGCTGGGGATGGCGGATGGCGTTAGTTTCGGGCTGTTGCAGTTGAAAGATCAGAACAGTGTGGCTCCTGGTGTGTACAAGTGCTTGACTTGGGGTAGTATGGGAGAGTGTCTGGGTTATTTGGTGCGGAGAGCAGCGGAAAATAAGGATGCGGTTTCACGCACTATGGCTGAGCATCTGGCGCTTAAGGCGGAGGTGAAGAGACGAGTTAGGGCTTTCTTTGGATAGATTGTTTAGCTATGTGTATGGAGTATGACCCTGAATGAATGAATGCAATTATGGTATCTGTTCATGTCTCCAATTCAACCAATTACCCCTCCATGAGTGTCTACATCATCCTTGTAAAGCTGCAATCTCAGGATATTTTTCCCAACCATGGCATCTCTAGCCGATGCAAGGTGGTCATCCAAAAGATGCACAGTTACAACTGTAATCAAGTGAGCTGCAGCTAATAATCTCGACCGTTATCGGCCGGTGAGCACCCAACTAGGTTTTACTAGGGCATACGCTGAAGTGCAGTTAGAATAGCCGCCAGCTTGCAGTGCGACCCACCGATATCCGAGTGGATCTGGATATACTTCGATTACACTTTGGAGTCAATTGATGCAATGAGGGGTAAGTAGTAAAGATGAGGGGTGATGTCACGCCTTCTTCGCCTCCCACATCTATTGTTTCTTTTTCCTTCAACTCAAACAGTCAATCTTAATCCTTCTCGTGACACTTAATACCCTAGAATATCACACACACTACCATCTACCTGCAATACATCCATCCATCCACTCATCTATCTACCAAATCAAACCAACAACGACAATTACATCCAAAATGTCTACACCAGAAAACACCCTCGCCATTCTCGGCTGCGGTACATCCCCCCTTCCCTACCCACCATATACATCCATCCACTAACACTACATCCCAGGAAAAATGGGCATCGCCATCCTCAACGGCCTCCTAACCGCCCAACCCACCACAGAATCGACCACCAACACCCCCCTCCCAACTCACTTCATCGCCACCGTCCGCTCCCCCTCCTCCCTCAACGCCCTCCAATCCCAATTCCACTCTCACCTAACCACCACCCTAACCATCCGCCCCTCTACGGAGAACCACATCGCCATCTCCTCCGCCAACACCATCATCCTCGCCTGCGATCCCACCGACATCCCCTCCCTCCTCACCAACCCAGAGACAAGATCCGCCCTCTGCAGTCCCACACCCACCCCAAAACTCCTCATCAGCATCGCCGCCGGCTGGACCGTCTCCTCCCTTCGCAATCTCCTCTCCAACCCACAGAACCTCTATGTTGTCCGCGCCCTGCCCAACATCTGCGCTACCATCTCGCAGTCCATCACAGCGATCGAGCTCCCCTCTGAAGAGTTGCAAGCGAATGCGGAGACTCGTGTGCCGAAGGGGCTTATTTCCCTAACGGAGGGGATCTTCAGCAAGATAGGACGCACGGTGCAGGTGCGGCCGGATCAGATGGATACGTTCACGGTACTGGGGGGATCCACGCCTGCGTTTCTGGCGGTGTTTGTGGAGGCGTTGGTGGATGGGGGGGTCGCGATGGGGTTGGGGAGGGAGGAAGCGAGGGTGACGGTTGCGCAGGTGTTGAGGGGTACGGGGGATTTGTTGCTTGGTGGGGAGCATCCGGCGTTGTTGAAGGAGAGGGGGACTTCTCCTGGGGGGTGTACTATGGGTGGGTTGTGTGTGTTGGAGGAAGGGGGGTTTAGGGGTCTCGTGGGGAGGGCGGTTAGGGAGGGGGTTATGGTGGCGGAGGGGATGGGGAGGGGGGTGGGGTTGGTTAATGGGACGGGGAGGAAGTAGATCATACTATATATATTCTGATAATTGATGGAGAGGGTGCGGTGTATGTTCAGGTGTTAACATGTTGTATTCAAGTTGTAGTAGGCAACGTTGTACTATGTATCCAATTGTATGTCTCGCAGTGTCGTCCAGACAAAAAGTACAGAAGTGAAGTAATATCAACCGGGCCCTCCTTTCGCCAAAGTTTTAGTAGCATCCCCTGGGACCCGTTAAAGGTGGACAGAAAGCATGTGCAAGAAACCAGACATCGTTACTCATTATCGTCACTGAATATATTTTTGACTGGTCCGCTGATAAGAGGAACTGGCGGGATGGGTGTAAGCAACATTTCCTCCTGAGAGTGCTGTGAGTAGCTGGCTTGTGTTCGATGAATCCCCGCGCTGTAGGTGTAAATGACCGGCTCGCCAATCTGGAACGCTCAAGAATATAAAGGAATGTAGTAAGAAGCACATCATGCTTAGAAGATTAGGGACAACTGAAGTATTGATCGATAACAAGGCTCGTTGCAGGATCCGAGAGTGAAGTCATGATGACTTCTCTTCATAGCGTTCTCGCAAGTGTCAGTTTCCGGTCGGGATTTGTAGCCCGCTTCATGTCGAGAAGCCACATCGGATATGGCAGAAGCATGCAGCTAGACATCACGCGCGATATTGTGGTGCGTCGCAGGACGCAGTAGATAGTATAGTACGGGCGTAGAGCTCTTCGCTGAAGACTAAGACAAAGTGCCGTAATCGCTGCAAGGCTTCGCGGGGTGTATTGCGAGCAAGGCAAAAGTCTGCCACCATAGACGGCTTCAAGCCTGTCATGGTAGGGTGGAGGATTTATGGTAGATGTCACCAGCGGTTGCACTTGGAACGCATGTGCGGTCGTCGCCGGGACGACAAAGAGTGGCCTGACATAAGAGCATTCAAAAGCGGCTAAGCGATCAAAAATCAGCAAAAAGTGCCTCGTACTTGTCTCTCAAATCATCGGTGTAAAGACTCTGATTCTTCACATCCGGATCTGGATATTCTTCAAAGTTTCCAGTGTCCGCAGGATGATCGACTCGAGGGATGATGGGTCCCTTGATGCGGCGGTAGAACAGGTCATCCCAGTTGATGTCTTCGAAAAAGGGATGCGTCTTGACTCGGGCTGAGCCCCCGGAGATGTAGCCCAACCGCTCAGTCGGGTTGGTCTTGCACAGCAACGATATGATGTTCTGGGCTGCGGGCGACATGTTCTGAGGATAACGTATGTGACCCTCGACGATCTGCTCGTATATGCGCATCGGGTTTTGGTCCCAGAATGGCGGCTGTCCCACAAGGAACTCGTATATTAGGATACCTAGAGCCCACCAGTCTACGGCAAGGCCGTGGCCGCTGTTATGAATGACTTCCGGGGCGAGATACTCAGGAGTACCACACAGAGTATAGGTCTCATGGTCGCCAACCTGTTTTGCGAACCCAAAGTCGACTAGCTTGATATGACCCTCGGCATCAAGCAGGATATTCTCCGGCTTAAGGTCTCGATAAACAACTCCCTCCACGTCATGGAGAAACTCGATGGTTAACGCTATCTCGGCCGCGTAGAATTTGGATGTATTCTCGTTGAAGCGTCGCGCGCGTCGTAGGTAGCTGAATATCTCGCCTCCAGGGCAATAGTCCAACTATGACGACATTAGTCTTCCATCGCCATGATGCCATAGGTTTCACTGCTCGGGTTGAGGATTGGTCGCGCGTGATAGGAATACAGATGAACCTAGGCTTCATACCAACATATATAGATTCTGATCATCGGAAAAGGAGGCAATCAACGTCGTGATGAAGGGATGGCCGGAAACATCTGCGAGAGTCTTCCGTTCGTTGCGGACATGCTCGACTTGCTTCAGCTTGATCACTATCAAATTTCGAAACAGAATCGGTTAGCCAGGTGCTGTTGCTGCAGTATGCATCGCCAACTACATACCATCTGCCTTTCGGAGTATCTTGAGAGCGTAAACCCTGTTCTTGCGTTGCCTTTCGTCGTTCAACTTCACTAACCACACCCGAGCGAATGTGCCTGGGCACAAGAATCGCCGCCGTCAGACACTGGCTAGGTTGCGCAAGCGACGAAGCGAAGCTTACCTGTGCCCAGTGTCTTCAACAGTGCGAAGTCATTGACGTTCAACCGACGAGTCGATATCCCCAGCTGTTTCTCTTCGGCACGACCAGCGATAACGAACGGACTCAGTCGACGCTGATGAGGCGGTCGGACTGAAGCCACTATCTCCTTTTCCCTCTCGTGAATATCTTCCGACCCCATCTTGAACTGGCTAGTTGGGACTGAGAATCTTTGCATGTCGTTAGCGCATCGATGGTTTTGGTGACCCAGAAAATGGCAAGGGATCCTGTCGCGGAGGACCGCGGGGAGGGGGAAAGGTGTGGGGAGAAAAACAAGGAGTCGCTGGGGTAGCAATTGGGCGAGTACCGGGTCCCTTAAAGCTGGTAGAGAAATGCAGGCGAGTTATTATCGCACATAGAGATTGATCAGGGGAACGGCAACGGCGCGGGGATTCGCAAGAGGATTTTGCGGGATGGAAGAGCTTTGATGAGGCCGGTCTGGCTCTCATCCAGCCGGCGGCGCTACGGGAAAGAAGAGACTCTGACGTTACCGGCCGGCGGGGCAGCCACGGGCCTGTGTGTTCGAGTCCCCTGTCGGTCACCAGCCATCCCCTCGCTGCTCAGCGGTTGCGATCTTCTTTTCAACTAAAAAATGGATCTAAATCCAGGAATAGAAAGATAGAGACGGATATAATGACATTTCAAGTAACGTATATGCTATTTCAACACTCCAGCAATGTACTAGTACAAGACACCAGACCTCCCCGGACGAAAGGCATCAATACCAGTGCCAGCGCCAACGACCGAATGGCCCCTAGACAATAAGCAGAATTGCTGCTTCTTGATCGCAATCTGGCTGCACTCATCGATACAGCAGTATTCCTATAGGGGACAAAAATACGTCCATGGTGGACATGAGTGGCCAAGAACCGGGAACACCAAGCGCATCATGCAGAACCCGCTCAGCCAGAGCTTTTGGAGTTGAGAATCAAGCCAACAATCAATCTATGAGTGTAAGTATGGTATCATGACTGCTCCAGTGGATGTGTACTTACCCGTAGAGACCAAGAACCTCGCCAAAAATCAAGATAAGAATCATACCGACATAAACACGAGATTGTTGCATGTACGCACGAACACCCTGTATCCATATTAGCACCTGCGCACTTCCATCCAGACACTCCTCGCAATGACTGCTTACCGCATCTCCGACAACACCAATAGTATAACCGGCAGCCACGCCTGCGAGGCCAACCGACAACCCCGCAGCAAGGTGCATGAAGCCACTTCCAAGACAATATCATCAGACTATTTTGTATATAAGTGGAGGCGGAAATCGGGAAACGTACGTGTAAAGGCTCATATGCTTGTTCGGGGGAGGATCCATGTCACCGGCGATGAGGACCGAGATGACGAGGCCGTAAACTGCGATAATACCGGACATGACAACGGGAATCAAGGACTACACAAGTTAGTACAATCATGACAATGCGGGAGATGCGACAAAAAGCTGAAATAGATCCAACATACCTTCATGATCAGGTCCGGCCTGAAGGTTCCCACTCCGGAGATACCAATTCCTGACTTCGCCGTTCCGTATGCGGCTCCCATTGCTAGATGAAGTGAGCTGGTATGTTCTCGTAACATTTAATCAATACCTCCAGCTTTGCGAGTCGACATACATCCGAAGATCATCTTTGGAGAGGTGGTTAGCGTGTGGTGATCGGAACGGGTGGCGTGTAGTTGATACTCACAGCTGCCGCAATACCTGCCTATTTTTTTGGTGAGTTAGCAAACGATACTTGTCGCGTGAAACTTTCTCGGCGAAGACCGTGAGGAAGCAACTTACGAAGGAAAAGAACGGAGCGAACTTGGGGGAGAACTCGCTGTCCGCCATGATGACCGAATCCACCCAGGAAGCACGAGGATCAGGAGTGAGAGCAATGGAAGGGGGAGGAAGAAGAAAAAGAAAAGGAAAGGAACAAAGAAGCGGAGAAGCAAGAGCCTGGATAGGTGAGACGAATCCTGGGCCAAAGCAGAACAAATCCGAATTACTATCGTCTCCAGACGTCTGTCGGAAGCAGCCAGCTGGATAAACACGATAGCTTTGGCAGGTCGGCGGAATGAGAGGTTGACCGAAGTAGTCCGCCCGGGCCACCGTATAGGAGAAGGTGGCCTATCCGGGTTAGGAGTGACATGTGCCTGTTCGACCCAACAACCCCCGTGCTCTTCCTTCTCCTAGACTCTCCTACACGGCCGCCGGTCCCATTCTTCACCAACTTCCCTGGCAATCATAATAACTGACACCTGCCTACTTACTCCCACTAATCCACTACTGCCCTCCCTCCCTCTCTCTCCCCACTCTCTACCTTCAACTCTCTCTCCCTCTATAACCTTAAAAACAACTTTCCTTCCCCCCTCCTCCTCCTCCACCCACCCATCTTGCCTGGCCTTACCCCCTCAGATTCTTTTCTCTCCCTCTTCCCCAGGCACGCCACCCCCAGTCTTGATCGACCGATCCCGCCCGAGGGAGCATGCTGAGGTTATGAACTTGCAGGGGCCCTGGCTTGCCGTTGCGCTCAAGGCTCCTAGCGCACTTGGATCGTTAACACACCACGCGGTCTCGACACCCTCCCCAGACTTTCAAATCGCACCAACACTGGACCTCCCAAAGGCATGATACATCGAGGGGGCTTTTGTGTGTAGAGGCTTTTCTTCTCCTATTCGAATTTTATTCTTGTCTTATTTTACTCTTGATTCCGCTTATAAATTATCGCCCCGTGGAGTATCTCATTTTCTTTTTTCCCACCCGCGCTCTCCTCCTCCTCCTTACTCCACGATTCGAAACGATCTCCTCGCGACGCTCTGCACGCTCTCTACGACCGGATTCGATACCCTCCCTTTCTCCCACCTTCACCTCACCCTCCTCTCGCCTCGTGTGATTCACCTTCTTGCCACCTTTCACCGAGATATTCCCCAGAGCGAGGAGTAAAGAGGGGGCTACATACACACCATGGCCGATTTAGGGGGTCAGCAAGGCCGGAACTACCGGCCTTACGGGCATCCCTCCGCTTTTCAACGTGATGCTGCATTCTCCGAGATTTTCGGCGGAGCACCGGGACGCTCGCAGACGATGACCTCCCAGACTCCTCAGTTCTCCCAAGATCGGGCCCATACCATGTCTTCACACGTGCCCCATCCGCAAATGCAGAGGGGTCCGCCACCACCCGCGCGCCAGATGCAGAATGGATACCCCCCGGGCCCCCCCAACGGTTATTATCAACCGTACGGCGGAAGCGCAGCTACAATGACCTCCCAGCACCCTTCCCAGAATCCTCCACGACCCTATCCCGGACGCTCTGCTTACCCTCAGCCGCAGAGGCTTGATTCGAGACCGAACCACGGGCCACAATATCCGGATGCAAAGGGTTATGCTCGACCAGTGCCCCACCCTGCCCTGAACTCCGACGCTTACAGATCAAGGTCAATGGCGAGGTTGGGAGGGCCACCGATATATCAGCCACCATCCAGTGGCTTCAACCATACCTCTGCAACCTATTCCCGCCAACAGCCCTATAATGCAGGCGCCGCCCCCATGACACCTCAGGGACGTGTGGTTCCGGAGAGGAATCAGAACGAGCGCTCCATGTCATTGACCACCTACTCCACTGACCGCGACCACGCTCATACAACACAAACTGGACGGGTCATTCCTCCCAGGCGACAGCCTTCCGGCCCTAGTCCACCCCCGGAAGCCTCCTCGTACCCAGCGGATGTGATTAACGCGTATGATGTTAACGGAAAGTCTCGTCCCCCTAGCGATGGCTCCATGAACTCCCGCACCATGTCCATGGCATCCACCGTTGTTCCGGACCGTACTATGAGCATGCAAAGCCAAATTGCTCCGAAGCCCAGTAACACGTCGACTCTTGTCCAAAGCAATTCCCGTCGGAGTAAGGTGCCGCTAGTTTACCCAGCCCTGCTTTCGAGAGTGGCCGATGTCTTCCGTGAGAGGATTACGCTCGCTGAACGGCAAAAGAACGGACTGTCGTATCAGAATGCGTTCTCCGGTGCGGAGGCGGTCGACCTGATCGCCTACATCATCAAGACCATGGATCGCAATCTGGCTCTGCTGTTGGGACGCGCTTTGGATGCGCAGAAGTTCTTCCACGATGTGACATATGACCACCGTCTGCGAGATGCTCCCGGTGAGCTTTACCAGTTCAAGGAAACCATGGGAGAGGAAGCACCCAGTTCGGAGGTAAATGGAGTGTTCACGCTGTTGACTGAATGCTACTCGCCGACTTGCACTCGCGACAGCTTATGCTACTCGATTGCTTGTCCCAGGAGGTTAGAACAGCAAGCTAGACTGAACCTCAAGCCGCAGCCGGGTCTCCGCTCGTCTGCCTCCAAGGGCAGTTTGCACGGTGATGACGACGATAACGATAATCAGAAATTGTGGATCAACATGGTTCCTAAGGAGATTTCTGATGGCATTGACGACCGCGAGAAGAAACGTCAGGAGATCATTTTCGAGATCATGTACACCGAGCGCGACTTCGTCAAGGACCTCGAGTATCTACGAGACTTCTGGATGAGGCCATTGCGTTCGGCAGGCAATGCTAATCTTTCGCCAATCCCTGAGCACCGACGGGAGAAATTCATTCGCACGGTATTCGGAAATTGCTTGGAAGTCTTGAAGGTCAACGGCGGATTGTGTGAGGCTCTGAACGCACGCCAGAAGGAGAACCACGTCGTCAAGACAGTCGGTGATATCTTCTTGCAGCACGTGCCAGGCTTTGACCCATTCATCAAGTACGGTGCAAACCAACTCTACGGAAAGTACGAGTTCGAGAAAGAAAAGGCATCAAACCCGGCTTTTGCGAGATTCGTTGAGGAAACAGAACGTCTCAAAGAGTCACGGAAGCTGGAGTTGAACGGTTACTTGACCAAGCCAACCACTCGTCTGGCAAGGTACCCCTTGCTTCTGGAGCAGGTTGCCAAGAACACGGCGGACGATAATCCTGACAAGCAAGACATTCCCAAGGCCATCAAGCTCATCAAAGATTTCCTGTCTCGCGTCAATGCTGAGAGTGGAAGGGCTGAGAACCATTTCAACCTTGTGCAGCTCAATTCAGCTTTGAAGTTTCCCCCGGGCGAATATGTCGATCTGAAGCTGACGGAAGAAAACCGTCAAATGCTGACGAAGATGGCTTTCAAGAAAACGCCAACTGACAGTTCTGAAGTTACTGCATACCTTTTCGATCATGCGGTTCTCCTGGTGAGAATCAAGATCGTGAACAAGCGGGAGGAGTACCGAGTATATCGGAAG